CCGCGCCCGCCGCCTCCCGCCGCCTAGGCTGGCCCCGGCCCGCGCAGCGCCCCCTGCCGGCCGGCCGCACGCGGCGGCGGCGGAGCGCGGGGTGCTGGGCGGACCCTGGCGGCCTCCCTGGTGGCGGCGGCGGTGGGAGCTGCCGGAGCTTCGGGGAGGAGGCTGTTTCCTGGAGGGGGCGCACACTCCCCTTAGATCGCCCTTTACCGACCTGAAGCCTTTTCTTTTCTTGTCTTTCAGCCCGGGAAGTGGGGTACCTCTTCCTACCCCAAGGGGATGCCCGTGGCATGAGAAGCCCCCAGCCCATAGCTCCGAGTAGTCCTCACGTTGCCCATTTCTAACCCCACGGAGCCCCTAATCCCAAGGAACCCCGGACCCCTTTCCGCAAGAAGTTCTTTCCTTTCATCCATCCCCAGGAGTTCCCCGTTTAAGCTCTTTCTGAACCTCCTTCTCCCCTAAGGCCATGTCCCAGGTCCGCCTCTCACTCCGTAACCCGAGGAGTCCCCTAGCCGCTACCCTGGGGGCCCAGCCCCTTCTCTCCAACTGCTTCCTCTGCAGGCCTCACCGTCGCCTCCTGAATAGCTTTACGCTCCTTGAGACCCTCATCTTCGTGGGGCGGGAGACCCTCCCTCCTTGGGTCACCCGGTCCACCAGACTCTATTCCTCTGAGCGGCGTGGAGGAAGAGGTAAGGAGCGGGGCGGGAGGAGGTCACAGGGTGTGTGTGTTTGGGCCTGGCTCGGCTTCCCTGTGTCGCACTCCCTCTGGGTAGCTATGTGGACCCCTTCTGTAAATGCGCGGCAGAGAGTAGTTTTGGGAGTCACGGTGGCCGAGTGGTTAAGGCGTTGGACTCGAAATCCAATGGGGTTTCCCCGCACAGGTTCGAATCCTGTTCGTGACGGCCGCTTTTTTTTTTTTTTTTTCTCTTCAAGAGTGTGTGAAGGGAGCCCCTTGTCTTCCACGTGTCTTTCGTGCACTTCCCTTTGTCTCAGAAACAGAAGCCAGAAGGTCTCACCTCTGGATTTGGGGGGAGGGGGCGGGAATGAGGGTGACCATGAGAAGCGTAATTATGCACAACTGTATTGGCTGCTAAGATACAAGGCACTTTCAGAGTTCTGTAGCTTCAGCTTTGCAAGCAGAGTTTTGGCATACCTTGTTGCATTCTTTTGGGAGGGCATAGCAAAGGATTTGGTTGGAGAAAGGTTAAGTTTTGTTCGGGAATGTGAATACCTGTTGTGAATACCTGTAGTCAAAACTGGAGTTTCCAGGTAAAGAGGGCACCTCTGGATTTCATGACCAGACGTCACATCTTGTAGGTCTGATTACAGTGAAGACCCGGGAAACAAGGCATTCTCTCACTGGGATTGCTGTGAAGAGCTGCACCTCAGGTATCACAGGGCTAGTGGGGAGTAACCTATTGAATCATGAACGCTGCCAATGTAGCTGGAGCCAGAGTGTGCGAAGATCTCACTTTTTATTGAGTGCTCATTATGTGTTCTAAATTCTCCATGTTCCAAGTTCCTAGCTAGGGTATTAATCCTTCTCTAACCTCTAACCCTCCTGTACTCACCTCAGCCCGTTCTTCCTATTCCCAATTGCTCACTGTGGGGAATATCTAGGATACCTGTTGAGGATGTTCTCTTTGTATTTTATTTCTTGCACAGCCACATCTCCAAGAAGGTTCCCCAGGGGCAGGTAATTCACAGAGCTTTTTACACATTTACACTTTGGAGTTTCCCACCTTCCTATCATTGCTTACGCTGTTTTTTCCACTCATGCTGTTTTTCCCTCACCACTTCCTTCTCCCTGCCCCCCACACCATTATTATTTTCCATCCTCCCCGTCTTTTTACCCCTCCTCTTTGAGGTTCTTGATTACAACATCTAGAACCTACCACCACCATCCACTAGGTTGAATGCAAGGCATCTCCTTTGACACGCTTCTGCAAAAATTAATTAAAATAAAATAAAACAAGTTACATTATTCTACCTCCTAAATAGTCTCAACTGTGTCCACTTTTCTCAGAGGTGAGTGCAGGCTGGACCCACCACTTGCTGAAGGTAGGGGTACTTTTGAGGACCACATGAGTTGAGGTATATAAAGCTGCCCTAAAGCATCCACACTACCCCGGTTTAAGGTAGCCGGGGACCTTAAACCCTTCCATGGTTGCCTTTTGTATTTCATGACCTGGTCCCTTTTTTTCTCCCCACTTTTTCATATTCACTACCTTTCATCCACTGGTATTCTGTTAGTTCCTGGCATAGTATTTTTCTGTGTTCATGCCGCTCTCTGCCTGAAGTAATCTTTCTCATCCTTAACTTCTTCTCAGTCTCCACTTAAATGTTGGTTCTCCTGGGAAGTCTTCTCTAACCACCTGTCTCCCACCATATCCTATTCTCTAATCTTTCTATGTGAAATCCTTCCTCCCCCATAGAATATACGCTCTTGGCACATATAAGCCACTCCAAAAAAATCTTTTTGCGTACATGGATGTTTTTTAACATAGTCATGTGTACATGCTTTAATCTTCACTCAGACTGGACTGTAAGCTTCTTGAGAGTAAGGACTGTGTATTTTGTTTGTTTGTACCTCCTCTACTAGGCCTTAGACATAGCTGTGATTAAAAAAATGTACTGAATGAATAGAATCTAATAGGTTCTGTACTGGACTTCCTACCAAATCCCATTTTGCACACACTCTCAAATTTAAATCTCTGAGG